GACACTAAAGAATGTATCATAAATGCATATATAAATAAGTACATTGAAATTAAATATTTAAATTCATAAAAACAAATGGACCAGTTTCTTAACATTACTCTAGAATGAATATTTGTACGAGTTCACATTTTGTTAAATCAATTTACAATCATAGGTATTAGTAAAAGATTGTTATTTGTTTATTGAGATTTTTATTGGGTTAAAAATAAAGTTTACACACCTTATAAAATTCTATTATTTTTTATCGTGTAAATTAATTTTTTTTTACAAAATTTGAAAACATTTCAAACCTCATTTCGGTTTTTTATTATTTTTGTTATTTTTTTATTATTTGCCAAACAATTAGTATTGTTCAAATGTGTATTTTCACAAAAATATGGATGTTAGCTAAACGTAAGATTTTTTAATTTAGTTTTCACTTCATCCTTCTTTCCCGCAACGAAATCTCTTAAAATAATTTAGTTTATTATTATTTCGTTATGTTTATAGTTACACTCTTGATTTACCCAGATCAATTAACTAAAAGCTTATTTAAAAAATCACATTTGTTACCCGATTAATTGAAATAATTAATACTAGAATATGAACAGTTATCTGCACGTTAATTCTCGACTGTATTTATGTTAATGCAACTCATTGGAAAAAACATTCGTGTTTGAAACAGGCTTTAACACGTACTGTCTCCTCCTTTTCGTCAGTTTCTTATATTACTTTCACCAGCAGACCGTCCTCTTACAATCAGTTTTATGCTGACTCCTATGAACGAAGGTGTCTACCTACCAACGGAACAATGAATCATTTAATTGTAAGTAAAAAGCTCTTTTGTATAGTCTAAATCTATATCTAGCAGGTAACTTAATTACCGAATATTATTATGATTATTTGTTATATATTGTTTCTTCGTGGTATAAAATGATTAAAGATCAATTTCTTATGTGTGGGAGATTCACCTTAATTAAATCAATGGTATTGATATCACAGATATATTATTCGAAATTTTTCGAAAATGTCTAGAAATTATTAAAGAAAGTACATAATTAACGTGTTTTAGTAACTGTTTGATAAATAATATATTCAAGAATTTAAAGATTTTGATACTCTGCCGAACGATGATTCATTTAATTACCTAATTTGCTAGTTATTTTGAGTAATATGCGAATAACACAAAAATTGAGAAACCTAAAAAATAATTAGTGTATAATGGCTTGTATATTGATGTATGGAATAAAATTCTTGCTCCCATCACAGTTATTATTGCGTGACACGATCGAGAGACTCCGCAATCAGCGTGGAATGTCATTTGTATACAAGTCCTACGTAAAACTAAAATCGATAATTTAATTGTTTTACGTACTTATCATTATTAAATGGTGAAAACACAGTTAATCATCATTAAATGACAACTTGAATAATCACCAAAACTTCCACTAACAGAATCTTTAATTTGTGATAAATAAGCTAATCAACTTCAAGAACTCGCCACTGTTAACGTAGAAAAAGAAACTGCAGACTTAAAGCTCATACGTTAAGGGTTTAACTAATGAAAAATTATTTGATCATGAGTCCTGACTATCAACGATATTTTCGAATCAGATCGCAATCGTTCTGATTAGCCCCTGCCTGGGGGACGTGTCGCATCTTTTGTCAGAATATTCGACCACCACAACTCCGCCACCACCACCCAGGCCTTATAGTTTCCAGTATCATGCCGGACGGTATCCTGGAAAGGTAGATCGAGTTCATCAAGAAAGCGGAGATGGTACTGGACACGTTCAAGGTAATTAAAACGATTAAATGTCACAAACATCATTAAACTGAATTAACAGAAACAATATATCTTTTTATTTGGATCAAGCACAGGAACAAAACGTAAAAAAATTATAAACCTCCAAACAGTTTGACATGATTTTCAAGTCTTATGTTCCTGTACATCGATTTCTTACTTTATATTTTTTCAATAATTGATAAGTCAACATTACATCTGAGCAATTTATCTTTTTTCTTTAAAGAGTATATAAATGAAAAAAGAAGAAAAATAATAATAAAGCTAAGGTAATAAATAAACATTGTGGATCAGATTAAGTGGAAATTGATCGAAATTACAAATTGTTCTTTCCAAAATGTGAATGTTTTAAATCTTAATCTTATAAACATATATCTATTTCATCCTTATAACGAGTACTTTTACTAAACGTCCTTGCAAAGTGTTAATGTTAACAAGTTTCTATTTATAGTAAAACCGTTACTTGCATTGTCTTCCAGGATCTTACTCATTCGTTGATCCCAAACACAAACTGCGGACAGTACAGTACACTGCCGACGAAACTGGATTCCATGCCTCCTTAATAAATTACGAGGACACGGTTGCGCAACCTGTCGATTCAGAAGCTGTACGGCTCGCCAAGGAGAAACATTTTCGGCTTTATCAGAAGATCGCTGAAGCAAATGCTCATGGTGTTCCAGCGAGCCTCCCGCGAGTAAGAGATATTTTATTTTTTCGATTCATTTTAAGGTAGAAAATTACCGATTTGAACCATTGCACAATCGACTTAATCCAAACTTCTGGACAGTGTCAAGAACTTTAATGAAATTAAAATGTTTAGATTACGATGCAACTAAATAAACAGTTTCTATTTCCATTGTATAATAGATACAGTACGGTTTTAAACAGAATATTAAATTTTGATTATATTGACTATTCACCGTCTCTAATTTATAATTTACGTAACAAAAATATAAAAATTCGTTTTTAACTTTAAGAAGTTTTTGTTCCAGGAACATTAAAATAGTGTAACTCAATTACTAAGCGCGTCTCACTTTACAGGATTCCGTAAGTGTAGTGCGAGCGAAGGATAGGCATAATCAGCTTTATCAAAAAATTGCAGAAGAACATGCCGCGATCGCCGCTCAAAGAGAAGCGGAACGATTAGCTTATGAAGCTACTTCTGTTGTGAACGACGTAAATCCGGATCATACATATTAATGCAAAGAAACATTACAAGCATTCAACCCAGTAGTAAGATGAGCACTACAAAATTGCGTATTATAACTCTCTTAACGTGCCGTATGTTGTGTAGATTTTCAAGTTGATTGTATCACTTTACAAATTTAATAAAAGAATGAAATAATTTTATGTACATTTAATTTTTCCATTAAGTTGGAAAAACTCTAATATAAAGTTATATGAATAATCAAATAAAATCTTTCGTTTTAGATTATTAAAATAAATTTTATAAGGTGCTTCTTATATAATAAATTGAAATAAATAAATAATTAAGTTATCTTTTGAATAGTTGTAATTATTTATGTTATAACAAGCATGCTGTTTCAATATTATTAATACAATAACTCAATTTATGTTGAATCAGTGATATCGATTATAATTACGAATTTGATGAAATATATACAGTTATATATCGGGAATTAAATAAAAGGAACATATAAGTACAAGTATAAAGAGCATAATAAAGAAAACCATTCCTTATGCAAATATAACATTGCTTTATTTTATAAACGTAGGACAAACGACGCAGGTCATTACAAAAATAAGATTACAAAATATAATATTTTAATTGAACAGATTATGTAATTATTGCGCGTACAAACAATGATAA